ATGAGGCTGGTGGCCCTGCCCCCCGAAGGGTACAGTCTTATCTCAAAGACAGAAAACTGAGTTGGCTTATAAGACCTGGACTACCTGAGGGCAGTGGTCGGGGCCAGCTGCTGAGCTACACACTTAGCATGCCCTCTATTCTAGATGCACTCACTCCCTGGGCCAAGCCCCCGTGATCTCTTGCTGGGATGCTTGCAGGACCTTCCTCACTGGTCTCCTTACTTCTCCTCTTGCTCAGACAATCTTTTTGAAATACATTGTGTCTGCTGAAAGCACGCCAGTGGCTGCCACCTCTCAGAATTGCAGCACAGTCGTTCCTGGGGCCCAGGATGTGACTTGTACCCGCCCCCCATGCTTCCCTGGGCTCCCTCCTCTCTAGACTCCTTGCACGTGCTGATCATATTCCCAGCAGTTCCCTCTGCCTGGGATATGCGAGGCCAGAAATGTGCAGGGCTGGCTTCTCATTTCATTCAAATGCATCCTCCTCAGAGGGGCCATCTCTGACCACTGGGTCTAATGTTGACACCTGACCCACTCTGTCCCTGGTCTTAGCACTTACCGCTACCAGCCCCTGGTAGCAGAAGAAAGAAGAAAGAAGTTTCTTAGAACTTTCTGGAAAGTCCCTCCTCCCACACCAGCCTGCCTCTGTCTTTTTCTGCTGCAGTTGGTGTCTCACTTCATCTCACCCACCACCAGGACCAGAGTTTGCCACCACGACGTCCCCACTCCTGTGTGAGGAGGGACATGTGAGGGTCTGCGTTCGGTCTCCCACGGAGGCTTCTCTCCTTTCTGGAGTCAGCACAACCCCTGTGCTGTGGACCTGGTCACATCTGCTTCTTCCAAAGGCTCATTAAAAGCCCCAATCCCAAAACAACCTCCCCGAGTGATCTTTCCAGATGTCACTGAGGCGCTGGTGTGGTCCTGCCCCTCTCTCTGCCTTCAAGAGCTATTCTGACACTCACACTCAGATTCTTCCTTTCCGGCTGCAGCGTGTGTAAGTGCCTGTCCTTTTCACTTTTTATATCTTCTGCAATCTGCCAGGTGCAAATTCTTGGAGTCCAGGGA